TTTAATCCGCCTGTCGCTCGTTACGTCAGGCAGTGAGTGCAAAGTAACCATCAATGATGGCTACGTTGTGTTGGTGTAATGGTTTCCATAGTATATTTTCACACATGCGATCTGGGTATAATTCCGAATGTGCCCGAATTACATTCTCATCTTTATAAATGATGTTTGGCGTTTTTTCCCTATGTGAAATCTCAGCTATTTTCATTTTTGTAAAAATAAAAAAAAAATCTTAAAATCATGACGTTTTTGAAAAACCCATTTTACATTTCGGTGTCTTTATTACAAGCACGTGTATATGTAATTTTACATGCAAATAATTACATCTTCCATGCAAAGAATATGAAATAATGGCATCCGACACACTGCATGCCATTGAAACTACCTGACCTTCTGTGACCTTGTATGGGTTTGTAAAATTTGTACTCACCTCAGGTTTATCTGCATAAAAGATATTTGCATTTCGATATATATTTTCTACAAAATTGGATTGAAAACAAAAGGAATAAAACGTTCATTTGCTAAATAAGCATTTTATTGTGACAGTTACAATATCCCCTTTATCATTTTGTTTGTGTGTCTTTGTTTGTGTGTTTTGAGTCAGGTATCAAAACCTCATTTATGCCTTCATATATTTCCACATCAGTTTAATGTTTTCTCCACTTAATATTGCAGACTATATCATAAATCAAAGTACGAAAGTACTGGGAAGCGCTAAGCATATTGCAATTTGAAATTCATCAGAATTATTTTGAATTTAAATTGCCTGTTGTCTTGACAGTGCGGCTGCGCTAGGGCGAGCACAGTTGTTTGATACATAATCAAACATGTCAGTCATGAAAATTTCCCCTTGGGATATGAAATTCAACATTGTCTTATGCCTTCTTATTTTATCTTAGATCAATCAATTTCACGTACATGAAATTTCAAGAAAATATTTCTACGTTTCTTTAAAAAAAAAATACATACAAATTAAATGGCAGATATTTACTCCAAACAGCAATGTATTTCTCAAACCTAATAAAAAAGAAAAAAAAACATGGAAACATATTTTCTTTCTCCATCTCTCTATAGGAGTCTATAAGAGGTAGTTCTGCGTATAAAACGCAATTTATTGGAGGGGGATGGTCGACAAGTTTTCCAAATTTAGACTATAAATGTACATACTGGAACATTACTGGTACTGTACATTTGCTGGAAAATGTGTATTTCTAAATAATTTTGAACAATTGAAAATGTCGCTGAAATTCCTCTCATTTATGTGCAACACCGACAGCTAAAATGTTCTGGTGAGAGTTTTAATAATGAATTCATTCCGTGTTTAAGGGTGTTTTAAATTGAAGATTGGCTGTTAGGGACAGTGCTTTAATTTTAGAAACTGCACTCGGAAAAATAAAGATGATATTTGTTTATTGCGTCGATAAATATTTCCTTATTGATAACATAATTATTTATTAATTAAATAATTTCTTGATAAAATAAGTTTTTAATTATATTTTCCTGTGAAATGCTATAGCAACATATAAGTCATGAAATTATACAGAAAATTTGAGAAAATATTAACTTCAAATCTGTGTCCAAGCACCTTTAAAGTTATGAATAAAACATCTCAAAAATATCGAATACTAGTATTCTCACTAAATTGTTTTTAGTATATCTCTTTTTTCATATTCATAAGCGATTTATAAATTTATAATTTTATAGAAAAGATTTTACAAGAAATACATTAATGGTATGTGTAAGATATTTACACAATCGCTACGAGCGTCCAGTATTTATTAATGATTAATAAAACTTAAACTATATATTACATTTTGTTTTGAATATGCTACGGCTGTGTATTATACATTTTAACACTTCACATTCATTGCGATGTGCAGCATATCGGCATCATGTTTGTAACAGCGTCATGTGATAAAACTCTATGTTAATGAAATGAGCACCCGTAGAGTTAACGTCCTTTTGTCAGAGATAATTGGTAAATATACATTTTGAGTATAAAGACATTAATTTGTCTTCTTCGTTTGACGATAAAACATTCGGTGCTATCATTTTATCTCTGATTTTCATATACATGATTTATTAGATATTTGCAACAAAAATTTGTCTTTTCTGTTGATCTCACAATATGTGTATCTGATTTGTAAACATTTACTTTTTTAAAATTAAATTTTATACTTTTCTTCTTCGGATTAAAAATACGTCATTAAACACCCAAATGTATTTTGGACTATTGTTGAAATACTTTAAAATGCTTTAGTATATTTTACGGACGTTTGATGCTTTACACCATTCTTTAGTTGTTTATTTATTATTTTAACTACCAAGCAAAACGTGTTTGGAGGAAAAATATCCACAGCACTGTTGTGTTAGTTGAAAAGGAAAACTGAAAATAATTGCCCGTAATTTTTCTGCTATTTCCATGATAAATAATTCAACAGCCCAAGAAAGAAAATACAGTATATTAATCTCAAGTATTAATAAATCTTCATGGAGGTATACAACATTGTTTTATTCTGTTTTTATGTAGTCCTCATTAAGTTGATTAGCAGTCAAATCGGCAACACGCGCACGTCTTTACATAAGCTATTTCTTCCTAGTTTCCTAATACAAGTATTACACTGTTTGCTGAACATTTCACCGGCGCTATTCCTGTCCATTGCTAAGAAGGTTAAATTGAGGTTTTTTGTATTTTTCGCCATATCTTGCGCACTGCACACACAATTTTAAAGCACAATATTCCGAGAAATTAGTTTTCCTATTTGAGTGCATTCGTTGAAAACACAGCCACCACGTGCCCTACATGTACGTACAGCCGCAAACTGCCTTTCCTTGCGAATTATTTGCATCATATTTTTTACCCATATTACAAATATAGAGTACAACACAAGTATAGACAGTCCATGAATGCATTCCAGTCTGTTACTAATTGATACTGAGATGCGAAATTCAACTTCATTGATAGTTCTTTGCATGGTGCAAGGGAGATAATAGGAAGACTTTTTTTAATGACATTGCCTGAAATAAGGGTCTAGAAGAAGAAATGATAGTTTATATGGATATAAGTTATATAGAACGCACATATGTAAGTACATTGTAAATCAATTTTATGCGATATTTTTTACTAAATAACTCAATTCCATTTTTAGTTTTAAATACATGTACTTATTAAAATCCAATCTGAGTTTTAAAAATATGTATTCATTCAATAACTACATTACATGTACATGACATATAATAATTAATTTTTAATTAGCCGACACGAACCGCCCTTATCTACTAACAATGGATTTTCATACAATGTTCATGCATATCTTTACCTTCCTAATTGGCTCCTATTATTAGAACTGCAAGTAACTCAGTATTACACTAAAATAGCCGAAAGAGAGTCGGGGGTTTCCAGTTGCATATTTTTAGAAAACCCAGTGAAGTTATCTAACTTGCTTAGTGGCACTGGATCGCGAACGGAAGTAGATTTACGATGACAGTAAGCTCTTTGCGCTTAAGTGTAGAGTAAAAAAAATTAACACAAAATTGAAAGCCCAAATGAAAGAAGAAAAAGAATTTTGTTAACATACGTGCATGTGTACTGTGAATACACAGGATAAAAGGTTGTGGATCAAATTTAAGCTATCATCTAACTGCATCAGCATCTCCTAGCATTTATAATTTCTTCACAAGTTGTATGTATAAGCATGGAAAAGGGATCTATGCCCTTATTTATGACTAATTTTAATGACTGCGAACTTATATTTTTCCTGCTGATCTTTAAAACAGGATTTCTGACTTCCTTAGTCTCCAAATATTTAGCTTCAATGGCAATTTGAGTTTTATCTGAAAAATATGAAAAAAATTTCAAAAATCATCGAGAATGAAAATTATCTTTAGGAAAATTTTGTAGCATATGTTAAAAAGCATTTTCTGTTTCACAAATGAATGCAATCATTGATCGCTTTGTCTAATATAATAAATTGATAAGTAAAAATTAAAATGTTGCAGTTTTGTTTAATATAATCATGTGAAGATAGCAAATATGAAATTTCTAATTATAAATTTCAACATTTCTATCTGGTGGGGATATCCTTGTAGACTTAATAATTATTTAATTAGACAAAAATAACATTCACTCTATGCATGCTGGTACTTAATAATTCTCTTCCATTTCCTAAGGAACCGTTAGTTAAAATACTTACAACGTACATCAACCTGTACTGTAGCTGGTAGAGATGTCCCTATAATGTTTGTGGCTGTACATTTATATGTGCCTGACTGTCCCCTCTGTAGTTTTGAAATTGTATAAGTAGATCTATTTTAAAGGATGTTATATGGGTTGTCGATTTTTACCCAGCTCCAAACGATATCTGGAGTAGCGGTAACAATGCTACATGACATTAGAGCTGTTTGACCCTCTTCAACCTGATACGGACTTGATCTCATCGTGTGCACTTCTGGCTTTTCTATGAAAAGGAATACTTTAGTAATTTATTGAGTATTTTTCATATATTGATATTTACAACAATTAGGAACATGTAGTTGTTTAAGTATTGTAAATTACATATGATAATTTAATTAGGCACCGTGTAGAAAAACATATAATCACTTCAAGTATACAAAAATCCAGCTTTAAATTAAATCTAAACTTCTTTAAGATGAAATAAATTTTCTTTCAATATTACAATCTAATAGACACAACATGTAATTTTTTATATCAAATTAGAGGGGGGAATTGTTGTTAAACTTACTTCCAATATTATTCGTTTTTGAATAGTGCTAAATGGCTGGCTTCCACTGAAGTAATGGAACATCTCCATAACCGTTAACGTGTTATTTTCATCTACTGTCATATTTTATGAAGGAATGATGAGATTATACTCTGTCTGTGATGTGCAGCTATAGTTGTATCTAGGATAAATACTGAATCCTCCACAATAGCTGACAATTCCAACAGAACCTACACTGGTTTAATTTCTGTAAAATCTAACAACTGCATGAGTCACTTGTGGAGGATTGTCCATTTGACACGTCCACGTAAATTGTTTTCAAAGTACTGCTAAATCTGATGTTCATGTGAGATTGTAGAGTGCTACATTGAAGAATATTTAAAATGTTAGACTTATAGATATGAAAATTGTTATTAATAAAAATAAGTTAGCTTTCACAAAACCTTAGTATCCGTTCACACTACAGCAGAGCATTTGATATTTTTCATAAACTATATAAAAAGTTTATTGAGATTATTGACATTTATTAAGCGAAAACACATGACAAAATGGTTTTATGGTGTATATGGGATGGCTATATTTAATTAATTGTCTACTTGGCACGCTTTGTTCATACGTATGAATGACAGTGTTCCTGTAGACGTGGTTGAGATACTAGGATTGTTATTGATGATTAAACGTAAATGTACAGTTTGGCCGTATACAGCAGGGACATTGTAATTCACAGATACACTTCCTGTGTAGAAACTACCACCACTGCTACAGGATCCACCAGTTGTGGCTGTAACTGGGTCCCCTGATAACTGGATAGATGAGATTCTTCCTTCTGTACTCTTAAAAAGATTCGTGTTAAGAGATAAAGCTAGTACGATTGATGCTTATCATTACAATTCATAGTGTAGATCAATGAATTATTTTTAACTAGTTATTCATTTAATTCGTTTGATGTTTACAAGTTGTATTTTGGAAGTTAAGCTTTATAAGTTCAAAATAATAAAGATCTTTATAGCTCACAATTATTAGAATTTACAATCAAAGTACTGACACAGTACTGAAAGACGGGGTCAAATAATAAACTTCATTATTTTACAAATTTCATTACTGCATGTTGAAATTTTTCTTAGGCCTTTGATACCAACTAATTTTTTTCTACATGATTTAATATTTGCATAAAATAATAAAATTAAATTTAAAAACACACTGTAAAAAATTTCGTTTCACTGTAATAGATTAATCAGTTATCGCTAGTCAAGAAACCTTTTTGAATTGTCCAAATTTCACCAGGTCCGAAATAATGACATTTCCGGAAGTAAATAATCGAAGACGCCTACGCAGTCTTGTAATACAGCCCAGTAGTCCGTATACTAGAGTCGTTCAGTATTATGATTTTCAATTTAAAATTTTTAAAACGTTTCTTTGAGTAAGAAAATCTTTATATCACTCTCTTTTGTTTGATCCAGGTGTTTGTATTTTAATCAAAAGGATTTCTGCACTCTCTCATTTTACGTAGATTTAATTTATGTGTTCTCCGCACGGCTTCCATGTTGAGGCCTCAGCTGACAGTAAACTAATAGACAGGGTCACGTGACCCCGTCTAAAAAGTATTGTTCGAATTCTGAATTAATAATAGTTACTTCTATTCATATGTCGACTCAGTATTTCCTAGTAAACTCGAAATAAAAGATATCACAAAGTCTGACACATCTGTTTCATATTTAGATATTTTACTGGAAAATGCCGTTAATGGTAACATAACAACAAAATTTGATATTAAACTTGATGACTTCGACTTTTTCACCTTCCCTAACTTATGTAACAATATACCCTTTTCTATCGTCAACTTCCCTTACTTACGTAGCAATATACCCTTATCACCTGCTTATTGGGTTATGTCTCCCAGTTGATTTGATACGCAAAAGCATGCTATACGTATAAACAATTTTTAAAACGAAGCAAGCTATTGATGAAGCTACAAGTTGATGAAACAAAGATATCAGCAGTCTCGTTTAAAGTCCTTATTTCGCAAGTTCTTTGGTCGATACAATGGCCTTGTTAGCAAATACAGTCTATCATTTAGTCAAATTCTGAATGAAGGTTTTCATATCAATTGTGAGGCCATTATTTATACATCTATATATATGTCAACGAATTTTTCCGTTTCCCCGATCATGACAAAAGTGTGACCAGTGTACAGGGATTGCATAATCCTCCATGGCACCTGATCCAGCCTGTGACGTATAGAAGTCCATCTTTGCACTGCTCCCGATTTGTACTTGTTTAATGGACTTTTGAGCTTGATTACTGTTCGTTATCTGCATATTTTATTCTCCTAATTGTTTAAAATTGGGAGTTCGATCCTCGTCTAGGTCGGATCCATGACTTTAAAATAGGACATACCTGTTCCATGACACAGTACCTGGTACATCTTACAACAAGGAATCATCCTTTTACTAGTGCAGGTCAGTTGCATTCTTTTAAAGTTTGCTGTTCACGCAAAGCAGTTGATTTTTTTATATGAAGAAATAAGGCATTGTATTCCAGCTACTTAAAATGTATTTTGCCTTTATTTTATTACGCACTTTTTATTAAAGAAACCCAGTGACGAAAAAGCGGGAAATTGACAAAGTAGAATTTTTTGTGTGCCCCATGCAAAGGATAACTGTATTTTATGGCATGCAGAATTTGAGACAATTCACCTTTCAAAAAGAGTATTTCTTCTATTTTCCAGAATGACGAATATCTAAACTGCTTCAATGCATCACTGTAATAAACAAGCAAATTCAAAGAATTGTGGTCCCTCTCTTTCGGTGTCTTTGTGGATGGGATACCATTATTTATGGTATATTGTGTCAAATATGAGCGCCCTATCATATGTCATTAAAAATTAATCACCAAAGTTAAAATTTTTGAAAATTAGGTCAAACATGAAGGACAATGGTCCAAAAATCATATCAGGCTCGAAAACATCTTGTCACAGGTAATGCACATGTCAAATATGAAAGCCCTACCTCATCTTAAACAAAAGTTATAAGGAAAGATACCATTTTTGAAAAGTAGGTCAAACTTCAAGGTCAAGATCACAGGGTCAAAAATCATAAAATCACAGGTAATAAACATGTATACTATGAAAGCCCTGTCTTTTCTCTTTCACAAATGTAATGTTAAAATTCTGAAAAGTAGCTCAAACTTTAAGGTCAAGGTCACGGGTAAAACTTATAGTATACTGTGGAATTTAAATTCGTGGGGGTCAATGTTTGTGGGCAAGCAAGATTTTATTGGTTCGTGGGGATGTAATTTCGTGGGCTGCTCGTTTATTTGGTAGATTCAATAAATCAATACGTTGACAAAATAATTGTTCGAGGGGATGTAAATTCGTGGGTAAGGGTGACCCACGAAATCCACGAACATTGATCTCCCACTAACAATGATGATTCCACAGTATTTGGAAAGGTCTTGTCACAGGTAATTTACATGTAAAATATGAAAGCCATATCTCTTCTCATTTCAAAGTTATTACTAAGGTTAAAGTTTTTTGTGACAGACGGACAGACTGACAGACGGATGAGATTTTTATTGTCCCCTCACTTTCGTGAAAGCGGGGGGCAATAAAAATTTGTATTTTCAAAGTGCAAATTTTCATGGGTAGATGTTTACACGATTTCTTGAATCTCTTTACGATGACAAAAACATACACTTTTTTACTGCCAAAATGCATGAACAGGGAAATGTTCTTTATTGGTAGTTGTCGACCGGTCACACCCGCCGTGTGTCATGATCGGGTAAATTGAAAAATCCGTAGAAATTTTTATGGCGGACCATAAAATGTTTGCGTATGAAATTCTTTCGGAAATAAATTTAAACTTTAAGGATGGCATGATGGGCTTCGTATGTCAGAACAATTTATGTCAGATATGTTTAAATCTTGAAAAGATGTCTTAATAACTTCAATATAAAATTCATGAACCACACTTATTTCCTTTTAATCATTACCATTAAGTCCCAGGGAAATGAGGGCAATGAATTGTAATACTGAGTTGTAGTTCCTCTTACAGACAGACCTCCTTCTTGCACTACAGTGTTTCCTGTTCCCGATGCTATTGTTGTTTTCCTGCAAAAAAAATAGGAATATTTACATCAAATTCTCTCAGATTTTTTAAATTTTGATGTTCGCATTACTTCGTGTAACTCTGTTACCTTGAACAAATGACATATTCCTTGTAAAGATGACAGTCACAAAACTCAACAATAATATAGCCGACACATTTTAATGACTTCCTTACTGTCTATATATTAATAGTATATAAGAAGCAGACGTTTGTAATATACGTAGGTTAAGTATAAATATAATTGTTAAAAGCTTATCGGGAAATAATTTGAATGATGTCTGAGAAAGTCTGTGTCGTCGTTCTCTATCTCACGAAAGGGTTTTACCAGCACTTCATTTCTATGTAGGAATAGCTTTGATCTGCATTTTCAGGGATATACCAACTGTTACTTTAGCGTTACTTATTCTAATTAAACGATCGTTGAAAAAATTGGTAACATTTTATTAATACCTTATTTACCAAATGATTGGTCTCTTATACAAAACAATTGCATGAAAAGAATACTTAAATTGATCAAAAACAGTATATACGAGTCAGTTTTAAGCTTATTTCAATCAAAGGGATACTTAGTCTTACTGTAATCCTTGCTATATAACCAGATAAAAATCATTGGTAAAAGACTTGTCTGACAATTTGTGCAGGGATTCCATGATTTATATTCTGTACTTTATATGATTGTAAAAACATCACATATGTTTAAAACTTCAGAAGACACAAAAGTGTCTTTTTATAAGATCAAAAAGCTTTATTTATGGTTTGCAGATCTACTAGAAGGGACTAACTCTCCCAAAACATACAAAATACTCTTAATCGGTTTTGCTGTCTATTCAAATTAGAAAAATTGGTTTATTCGAATGGCAGAGCAATCTTAAAAACGATCATGCTGTGTTAGGTGTTAAGCACTCTAAGTTTTAAATTGAAATATATAGGATAAATCTTCTTCGCAAGAACCACTGAGCCAAAAAAGCTTAAACTTGTGTGGAAGCATCCTGAGGTAGTGAAGATTCTTATGGTAACAGGTATTCTTTTAAGGCTGAAAAATAATAATATGCATTAGCTATATAAAGAAAATTAAACTGAAAATCTGTGAAGTGCAGTTAATGCTTATAATATTAAACATTGATCATATCATATCTTTATTGTATTTAAAGATTTTAAATAATGCAGACTTATATAAGTTGAAATTTTGCTAAAGCATATTAAACAATTCACTTTCTAAAGAATATTATTTTTCAAATGTGGAATTCTTTTCAATTTAAAATAGGAAATAGTGGCACACTTAAAGTTTCCAAATAATATGCATGCTAGAAACATTAGAAATATTTAGATAATTAGTGTTGTATAGCATTCTATCTCTATCTTGATCTTATTCATTGAGTACACATTAACATAATTTAATATGGAGCTATTATATTTTCATGATAAAGCCATCCAGAATGTAAAAGGTAAAGATAACGAACAGTGATCGATCTAAAAAATCTATAAACAATACAAATATATTGAGAGGGCATTAAACACGGACCACTAGAAATTCCAGAGGTGGGATCAGGTTCCTTAAACATTCAAATAATTTTAATATTTAATAGGTTGCTTAGGCTTATAAAAGCATTGTGTACAAATTGACTTCTTACATTTGTAACATGTTCACACAAACGTAAAACATTGTGTACGAGTTGACTTCAGTTTTATATACATGTTG